TGGACGGGGCTCTGAGCAACCTGATCTAGTGGAAGATGTCCCTGCTTGTTGCAGGGGGGTTGGACTAGATGACCTTTAGAGGTCCCTTCCAACCCAAACTATTCTATGATTCTATTCTATGATTCTCTGGTTTGTTCTGGATACACTGCCTCAGTTTCCAAGTCACAGGACATTGAGTAATGACATATGTTTGAAATGGCATTTGATCAAGTCACTGAGCAGATACCCGACCAACCTGTATAGGTCTGTTTCCTTTGTTCTTCTTGACAGTGAGAATTCTTGCAGTGTTCCTGTCCCTGTGTGCAGGTATGCTTAAGAATTGTAGTAGGTAGTGGTTAACAAGTAACTCTTGCAACTTGTTGTTCATTTGGCAATTGAGTGAAGATGGGATGGGAAAGAGGAGACCAAACAACCCAAACAGAATAATTAGTACTTGAATTATGGACTTTGTGTATTTATTGTTGTCCTGACCTGTTGGTCTCTTATCTTTGAGTAATCAGGCTTTGTCATTGGGTAACTTCAGCAGGCAATCCTTGAACTATCAATGTGGTCAGTTAAGGATTCTCCGTCAAAGGGAATCTTTTGCAAATCGAAATATTGATTAGTGTTGCCAGAGAAGTTCAGAATACCCATCTCTTAAAGGGAGCCTGAAGGATTCCAGAATGGGACTCCTGCTAGATGGATGCTGTTTGCTGGATGCTTTAGATGCCAAGAGGTCTGAGGAAGCAGAGGGAGAAGATGGATGGTAGCCTCAACATAAGCCAGGCAGTTCTCGTTAAAGGCTCAACAGTGAATCTTGCCCTGCAGCAACTGGTTGCTTTGACTGTTCTGTCAGCATCTTATTTTCTAACGGCAAAATTCTGGTCATGGTGTTCCAAGATTGACTCATACAGGAGCAAGTCCTAGTTTTCTGACACTTACCTGAAATAATCTGTTTTATTGATTGTAATAGGCTGAAAAGTCTTTGCAGAATCAGAGAATGGTTGAGGTTGGAAGGAACCTCCGGAGGTCACCCCCCTGCTTAAGCAGGGCCACCTAGAGCCGGTTGTCCAGGACCATGTCCAGACGGCTTTTGAGTATCTCTAAGGAGGAAGACTCCACAACCTCTCTGGACAACCTGTGCCAGGGCTCGGTGACCCTCATGGTAACGAAGTGTTTCCTGCTGTTCAGACAGCACCTCCTGAGTTTCAGTTTGTGCCCATTGCCTCCAGTCCTGTCACTGGGCACCACTGCAAAGAGCCTGGCTCTGTTCTCTTTGCACCCTCCCTTCAGGTATTTACATACATTGATGAGATCCCCCTGAGCCTTCTCTAGGCTGAACAGTCCCAACACTCTCAGCCTTTCCTCATAAGAAGGATGCTCCAGTCCCTTATCTTAGCAGCCATTTGTTGGACTCTATCCAGTATGTCCATATCTCCCTTGTACTGGAAAACCCAGGACTGGTCCCAGCACTCCAGGTGTGGCCTCACTAGTGCTGAGTAGAGGGGACAGGTCGCCTCCCTTGACCTGTTGGCAGTACTTTGCCTAATGCAGCCCAGGATGCCAGTAGCCTTCTTTGTGTTAAGGGCACACTACTGGCTTATGTCTGAAGGAGGCTGTTATCTAAGCAGAAAGAACTTTTCTTTTGGAAAACAAACACTTGAGTGTTTTCCCTTAAGAATACCTATGAAGATATTTGTCTACCAGCTTTGAAGCCATCCCAATTTGCTTTTGTACAAATCTTTATAGCCATGCTATTTATTTGCCTATTTGCTATATCCGAAGCCATACTGGTTTATTTTATGGCATGTTAAATTTTGCTTTTTAATGTTTTGGTTCTAAAGCGATACCTTAAGACACTTGCAGACTTCCAAAGATCAGGTCCTCATTTTAGTATTAATGGGGTTAATTGTTCCTCCACAGTTCAATCTGTTTCTGGTCCCCTTTCGTAAAAATGGAAGTGCGTGATGGGCTTTGTGTGATTGGTTTCTTTTTTTTTTTCCCTTCAGTTTCTTAGTGAAAGGAAGCTAATGCTACGCTTGTGCATTTGAAATTGGCCAACTGGTTCAATCAGCTTGCGCATAAATTTGACGTTCTTCAAGATAATTTCCTTTGCATGTTGTGAAAATTGGGTGCTGAGTGGAGAAGAGAGTACTGACCGTCCTAGGTCCATGACGCTTTCAAAACCTTCACCTATCTCTTGTGGACTTGCTTTGTCCTGCAGGTTGGACTTAGCCATCCTCTCGTACAGACGCGTTCCCCTTCACTAGCTTGACCTTCCGTTTCCATTCTGAGAATCTGCTAATGGTTGTGTTCCTGTGAACCTATGCAACTCCTTGCTGTTTTCCTTCCTCCTGCCTGCCTCTCCTGTCTTTCTGTAGAACACTGTGTGGTGCCTCGACCTTTTTGTCTGTTGAACTACTGTGCCTTTCCATGCTCTCCAGTTCATGAGTGGCAAGTTTGTTTTTCTTGAATTTGAACTGGTGATATTTATCTGACTGTTATATACTTAGTGCTCTCGTGTTTTCCTGTATCCATTTTCTGCAGGTCAATCTCTGACCTAAATTTGGGCAGAGGAAGAGCCTTTTGGCTTCAGGCAGGAAAGAAGTTGTTGCAAGTCTTTTCCAGGCTTTTGTGGTAATAAGTGTAGGATGGTATTAGTTAGAGAGCCAACTAGTTCCAAATTACTTTAATGATCCGGTTCTTCTTTTCGAAGGGATTAACTACTCCCAAATACATGGTGCTATCAGAGCATGTACCAGAATCTCATTTACTTTAGGGTTCTTTTAAAAGATCATTTTGAGATCATCTTCCTTGCTAGGGTGTCTTAGCTGTAAAAAAACCCAGGCAAACAAAAAAAACCCAACCCCCCAAAAAACAAACCAAAAAATCCCAACAAAAAAAAAAACCCACTACCCAAAACCAAACCAAAAACCTCCTGAAACAAACAACAACAAAATAAAACCCCACAAATCCTTGGGCGTTTGTCGTTTTATAGTCTGCCATGTTTCAGTATAGCAAAAGCTAAGAAGGGGGAAGTACAACATGAAAGGCGAGAGAGTTGGGAGAAGGTCCTCTGGCTTAGTTAGTTCACGTATGGACTTCAGTAGCTGTTACTTTTTTCTACAAATATAGCTTGTGGTTTTTTTAAAAAAAATAATCTCTGCACCATGCTTTCTAGCTAAACCTTGGAGAGGGGGTGACTTAATTTCTAAAAAGAGACAAGTAGCTTTACCCTTTAAATGTCATAGGCTATTTTGGAGATTATTTGGCTGCAGTAATGAAAGATATTATATCATTCATGAATCTTCAGATCTCCCTGCTACTTGAACTAGATAAATACAATGAAAAGTGATTTCCAGAGATTGCATAAATAGAGCTCCAAATCCATAGGAAACATTTCTAGATAGTAAGAAAGCATTTCTGGACTTCCTTGATGAACTAGAAATTATTTCAGACATCTGGCTGTCCTATTCCCACGTATTTCACTGGGACACAAAGCTGTCTAAAATACAGCGTGCAGAAAGTCTACTGACCAACTACTAATGTGGAGGTCACCATTTAAATGAAGCAAGTATAAACCTTCCTTCTAGATGAGCTTAGACTTCTAGAAAGAGACTGATTCTTGATGATTTGTCATTATTAAAATGTTAATTGGAAATGGAAGGCTTTTTCTGAGCTGAAGAATATTACAAATACTTTCAATTTAGTTTTTGGTTTTTTTCTTAAAAGCAAAGAAAGCCTCTGTATTTAAGTGTATTACTTTGGTTTTGATTTTTATTCCCTTTGGCAGACTAGGTAGACTATGAAGAGAACAACAGGAATAGGCAGGAGCAGACCAAAAACCAATATTCCATCTTCCTATGCTGTCTTCTCCCAGTTGCTGAAAAGGAGAAAACAGTAAGACTTATGTCAACAAATTAACACTCCTGGAAGTGCCTTTTTGAAGAAAGAAGCCTTCATCTTTCCTCACGCTTCTCCACCTGCTTCTTTCTTACCGTGCTGATCAGGGCATGTCTTGAGAATCAGTGTGGGTGCAGTTCTGCTGCAGAGTCCAAGATCACTGCTCAAGGAGGACGAGCAAAACTTTTCATGTAATGTAACTTTCAGGTTTTTAATCCGCAGCTTCTTTACATCTGTTCCTGAGGTAAATATATGCATACTTGTTTTTTTTTTATGAAAGTTTTAGGAATAACTTGCCTCATGGAGGACTGCTGTCAATGTTGCTTTGGCCAAAAGCTTTATATCCTCATTTATGATGGTGCTGACTTGAATGCCATAGTTCTTGCATCTTGCTCAATATTTTCTCCTCTGTTTACGGAAATTAAGGAATCCAGTATTCTAAGCACAGAATTTGGATTTCTGAATTTTGTCAGAGAATCTGCCCTCTTTCTTGAAGTCCCTGCTTTCCCAAAGGTATTAATAAGAAATGTTTCATCTGGCTTTTCCAGGAGAAAAGCATGTAGAGTACATGAGAGATACATGTAGAAGGAGAAAAGTGTGTGTGAGAACTTCAGCTCAGTTCAATTTTCTACATTGCTTGCATCTTATTTTTGCATTTTATGATCTGTTCTGTGGCTTATTGCAAAGAAATTTGATACACAAAATATTTGAACAATCTGTAAATTAGAAGATAGAAAAAAGGTTGTGGGTTACCTCCCTCTTACCAAACAAATGTTTCTGAAATTATCGGTGCTAAAGCCTCATTCTGACTCGAAAATAGTTGTTTGCATTGATCAGGAGGTAAGAGAGGTGTAGACTGCTTGCCCTCACAGCATAGCTGAACTCCTTAATCAATGTTTAGCATATGGAATACGTGTTCAAAAAAAGGTATGTGACTGTATAATGCAAAATGTGAACTCTTTGCAGCAAACATAATCTTGCTTTGACAATGTTGGAAACATTTAAAAGAAATCTGAGTAGTACTAAAATGTTACAATACAAAAACAACTCCCGTGGGTGTCTCTCTCTCACTCCTATTCTTATGTTGGTCTTTCCAAATCATCAGCATCTTGACTGGCTCCCACAGCTGTTTTTCCTCTTTATTGCATCTGAGCTCTTAACAGACTCTAAATTATAAATACGTATTTTCATCTACATACTGGATCATTTTTTAGGCAGACTCCTTTTCTCTCATTTCTAAAAATGTTTATTTGGGAAAAAAAGCTTGATAATAGAATTCTGGAAAAGGAGGCCAGAAGGGTTCTGAGAGTTTATCTGGACCTCTAATTAAAGGCAGTTTGAGATCTTTTAAAATAATAATAAAAAAAAAACCACAAAGAGTTTCCAGTCTTGTTAGGCAATCTGTATAGGTGCTTAACTATGCTTGCAATTAGGTTCTCCTAGAAATTAGCCTAAGTTTAGCCTAAATCTTCTGTAGTTTGAGCCTCTTCAACTGTGTAGGGAAGTGTATTTCCTTGTTTTTTGCAGCAGTCTTCTATTTATATTGTCTCCTTTCGGTCCAGTAAAGCCTGAACAAATCTCTCCCCAGGTTGTATTTTAAAGGCCTCTTTCCATTTTTTGTATAGCTGCTTTTGGACTTCTTTCAGTTGTTCTATGTCATTTGGAGATGTGCTTTTCAAAACAGGTTGAGGTATTTGTAATGCTAAGCAGAGTAAAAAGCTTATTCTGTCTGTTTTGCAATGCTGTGACTTTCCACAGATCCTTTTCTGCTCTAATGCTACCTAATAGTTGGTTTCCATTACAGATTGGTATGGTTGATTATTTACAGCCAAAATTGTGCTTTGCACACAATTTAATTCAATTCCACCTGATGCTTTTAAGCCTTTCTTCTTTTTTTTTTTCCCCCAAGGTAACTTGGTTTTCTGATCAACTAAGTGTTTGCAGTTTTTATAATTTGATGTCCACCTGCAGATTTAATTAGTGTACTGTTACCAAAATAATAAATGTTTCTTTTTGTTTGATATGTTTGAGTTAGTAGTACTATATCTGATACATCCTTGATTTGATGGTGTTTCATCAGTACCTTTTTTCTTTTTCTTTTTCTTTTTTTTTTAATGATTTGGATATTGGCAGGTAGTCTCCAGCAGCTCAAACATTAGGATTAAGACAGGGTAATGGGCTGTATGCATACCTGTACCTCATACTGGCTGTGCTAATAGGGTAGGTTTGACCATGGCAGTCATTAGGCTTTGGGTGTGCGGGGTGTGGCTCAGATGGCAGACCATGTCTGTTAGTTGCAGTCATCTAACCAAGTCATTAGAAATAGGCTATTTTGATAGTACTTGTTCTGGACAAGCCTTTGACTCAGTTGTCTTGCACTGTTTACCTTCTAGGTTTTTATAAATATATACTGGGTATAAAAAAAAAAAACAACCAAACAAAAAAACCCCCAAAAACAAAGAAACCCAAACAAAAACCTTTATAGTGTTTGGTATCAAGTTTACACGTCTATGATTTTCTGAGTTCCCCCTTCTACTTTTAAAGATAAAGTTCTAAAGAACCTTAACCCTTTTTTTCCAGTTTCGAGGAAATCTTACCCATGCTAAATTTTTCTCAGTGGATAATTATTAAATATGACTAAGCTGCTTTTAACTTAATATCTTTTAGACTTTACTTGCATTTTGATTTGTCAACTCTTATCTCTCCACATTGTCTCTGAACCTTATCTTTGAATTTGTTTTCTGAAATTGGCAATGCCTTTATGATTTACAGGCTATTTGAATTGCATGTTTTCGAATATGTTGTAACTGTTAGAAGGAAAGATGGATCAAAAGCAGCTTCTTGTGCGTTGCTCTTAAGCATTAAGCGTTTGTTAGAGGAAAAGGGCTGCTGTCTATTAGTATCATCTACTAATAGGAAGCCAGTAGAAATAGACTTTTTCTGGGTAAAAGTTCAGCAACCCCACAACTCGGAATTAGATGTATTAATGATCTGAAAAAGACATTAAGAATCACAGAATGGTTGCGGTTGGAAGGGACCTCTGGAGGTAATCTGGTCCAACACCCCTGCTCAAGGAGGGCCACCCGGAGCAGGTTGCCCAGGGCCATGTCCAGATGGCTTTTGAGTATCTCGAAAGAGGGATATTCCACAGCCTCTCTGGGCAACCTGTGCCAGTGCTCAGTTCCTGTCAAAGTAACAGTGTTTCATGGTGTTCAGAGGGAAGGAACCTCCTGTGTTTCAGTTCGTGCCTGTTGCCTCTGGTCCTGTCACTGGGCACCACTGAAAAGAGCCTGGCTCCATCTTGTTTGTACCTTCCCTTCAGGTATTTACATACATTGATGAGATCCCCCTGAACCTGCTCTTCTCCAGGCTGAACAGTTCCAGCTCTCTCAGCCTTTCCTCATATGAGAAATGCTCCAGTCCCTTCATCATCCTTGTGGCCCTTCATTGGACTCTCTCTAGTATGTCCATGTCTCCCTTGTGCTGAGGAGCCCAGAACTAGATGCAGTACTCCAGGTGTGGCCTCACCAGTGCTGAGCAGAGGAGAAGGATCACCTCCTTCAACCTGCTAGCAACACTACCTAATTCAGCAAACAATTGCAGGTAATAGTGTTTTCTTCAGACAGAGGAAGACTTTGAGGAACTTCAGCACTAATAGAAGACAATAAATGGACAAAAAAATCACAGGCTTAGTTCAACACTGCAAAAGCAAACAATACTTATTTGAGTTGAGGCTGTTCAACTTTGCATACAACACAGTTGTCTTAAATTAGGAATGGGATCTGTATATCATGGAGGACCTCCAAGATAAGCTTCATAAAACAAGCTATGTGAAATGGAAAATAATAGGGAAGACATACTGTTCTTACATGGATAGGGGATGTGGTGTCATACAGAGCCGAGTGTCGAGGACTTTATTTCATGTGGAGTACTGCATAATTACTGAGGATTTGGAGAAGGTTAGCAAAAAAACCAAGAGGCGTGGAAAACTCGGATGAGAAATTGAGGACATTTGAGTTGGTTATCCTGAAAAGGAAGTTAATTAGAAGGGATGTAGGATCAGAACCTGCCCAAAGCTGTTTGTCTGCATAGGACTTAAGATAAAGCCTTCATGAGGATAAGGTAAACTTTTAAAGGGAGATTAAGTTCATCTTACCTGGCTTCTTATATAGCACAGACATAGTATTTCCCATGGTTATTACAACCAATAACTTGTTTAATTAAATGTATTTCACAATCAAGATTGGATGCTTTTGTGGAAGATTCCGAGAGTCAGAAAATGTTTTCCATTAGAAGTTGATTCCCGTAATCATTTTTATTGATTCTAATCTGAATGTTTTTGAGCTATATTCCTGGCATTATTCCTTGTTATGCCTGCCTGTTTTTCACCTTTTTAATAGGTCTCCTAATGGACCTCCCATTCTTTCACTATGAAAGGAACATTTGTCTTCTAACCAGGTATTTTCTAGTCTGAGCTACTCTGCCATCTGGTTCTTGCAGCTGCTTCTGATTTATCTGCTCCTGACAAGGAGACTGAGTTAAGTGAGCCATTGGTTTGATCCATTATGTAAAATAAAAATTGCCTAAGAAGTACCAAGATAAGTTGCAGTGAAAAAAGTGCATCGTGACTCGTTTCTTCCTTTTAAGACAAGGATAGGTGGATCTCTTGTATGGAGGGGGAAATTGCTTCTTCCTTTGAGAGCTTGCTTAGGGATTAAGGGACTGAGAAATTCCTGAAATGTGGCAAAAGGAGAATTGCAGAGGGAGCTGCTGATGCCCATGGCTCATCTAGAGGCTGTGAGGCTTCAGTGAGGGGCCAGGAGCAGGCAGCCAGGCCTTGGAGGGGACAGGGAGAGTTTCCGAGGGACTGGGGGTAATTGAGCAGAATCTGCCACTGTTGAGAAAATAGTAGAATTGGCTGGAAGTACAGGCCTGTCTGCCAAGGACACAATGAACAGAGGGAGGGATGTGCTTTTTGTTCTGTTTGCCCTACTTGCTTTCAGATTTTTCTGTTTAAAATTTAAGCTTCTAGTTCTTGTTCTGGTAATGCTTGTGTGTGTGTGCTTGTTTTGTTTTGTTGTGTGTTGTGTTCCCCCCACCCCAAATAAAAAGCCTTTATAACACTTCTGGAAAGCTTTTTTAAAGGGGAGGGATCCAGACGTAATTCTAGAACTGTGGCTAACTCTGGGTGCTTTGCATAACTACTGTCCTTCTCTAAGTGGTTTGGGGCATGCACATGTGGAG